TATATAATTCCATTGCTAATCTTCTTAGTGTCAGGTCCTTTTGGGAGTTTGTAAATAATATTTGAGGGTTGGAGACGTTGGTTCAGAGCTGTATGGCTCCAGAAACACATCTGACGGACGAAAAGAGGAAAAACAAAACAAAGCGTGTTACATTTTCTACTTTTCAGAAGAGGAAACTACGCCCAGATAGAAGTTCCTCTTGTGGCTGCTGTCTTTTTGGTTTTGGTGCTTTGACAAGATTCCAGTGCTGATCGCGTAGCGGCCATCTTGTTGATCTGAGATAAGATATGGAGGCGGTCATGTTTGCTGATGGCTGCTTTGTCTGTATCAAGCGATGGTATGGGAATATACTTCATGGTTTAGCTACATATCACTATATTTGGTCATGATGATAATGCGCTGGAGATTCTGATCGCTTCGTTATAGATTGGCGTGGATAGGGGTTATGTCAAAGAACGGCTTAAAGGGGCCCTGTCATGAGAGAAACATGGAGGCCGTCCTTTATCTCCTCAGAGTCTGACAATGCCGGACTTGTGACTTCTCTCTGACTTTTTCGAAGCAGGTCAGCAATAGCAGTTCCTGTATTTGTCTTGTGACAAGTTTGCTCTAAAGCGGTCATTCTGACCTGGGTGGTCCATGGCCATTGGATAGATTCAGTCAAGCTTTGGTATTAGTGGGCAAGCGGGTAAAGATGCTGCCACTCTGGTGTCCCCCCCAATCCCTCTAGCCTTAAAGATGGTGCTGCTTTGCACATTGCGCATGTCATTGACCATGCTCTGCCAGTTGCCTGGTTTGCATTCTTATGAACAGTACTTAGGATGGAACCTACTAATCACATGTTGCATCCTCAGGGGTGACCCCCCCCCCCCGGTTCCTGGCTCTTTAGGATTGAGTGAGTAAGGTGCAGGAATACATGGGGTGGTGGCATTTAGGTAGTGGTAGGGAGTAGAGGAAGAATGTTGGGAGCGGAGAAAGTTAAAGGTTCAGGACTTTTTATTACCATTTTAATAGGCCATAAAAGAGGGCAGAGTGAATGTCACAAGAAGTGGATGAATGGTTATATCCGATCCTCAGTTCCGTTGAGTGTCTTTAATCGCTTCAGGAACGCCGTACGTATATAAACAACGCTGTCCTGAAGCCGTTATACCAAGCTGCTTCACCAGCCGTGATCTTGGTACTGATTTTTTTTTTTTTTTACAGCTGGTGATGTCTGCGGCAGACAAGAGTTCTGGTCTGAGGAAGTCACATGGGGGCACAAAAACCGTTAAATCCTCCCAGGTGATCCTCAAGGTATAGGAATTGGACTATAGTCAGACTTTGAGAACAGGAAAAATAACCTCACAGAGAATTCCGTCTCTGGGGCGTGCCAATTAAACCATTTGTTTTTATGCCACGGGTTTAGATGGTCAAAAGTAGGGCTGCAACAACTAATCGACATAATCGATTATAATCGATTATTGAAAAAGTTGTCAACTTTTTCAATAATCGATTAATCGGCTTCCGATCAGTTGGCCCTGTTCACGGCTCCACACACGCTGCGCGCCGCACCTCTTCCCCACCTCACGCTCGCCGCTGCCAGACCCGCCCGCCCGCATCCACGCCGCACCTCCTCCCCGCCTCACACTCACCGCCCGCCCACATCCACGATTGGCACAGGGACGCGGGGAGATGTAGTAAGGAGGAGCAGGTGTGGGGGGATGACAGCCGCTGATAGACAGGTCCGATCTCAGAAGCAAGTTGCTGGAAGACTGCTCAGGTAAGCCTGCACCTTCCCCCCCACATGGTGCTCTATAATGTATTGCTGGGATTTGTATTCCTCTATAGCTGATGGTACATTGTGCTGTATATTATACATAGGAATACACATCCAGCAATACATTATACACTGTATGTATAATGTATTGCTGGGATTTGTTGTATTCCTATATAGCTGGTGATATACTGCACTGCACTGTATAGAGGACTACAAATCCCAGCAATAGTACATTATACAGCGCAATGCAGAATACCACCAGCTATAATGTACATTGCTGGGATTTGTTGTAGTCCTCTATAGCTGGTGATATTCTGCATTGCGCTGTATAATGTACTATTGCTGGGATTTGTAGTCCTCTATAGCCGGTGCAATTCTGCATTCATTGCTGTATAATTTTACACTTTCCTTTTCACTATATTGCACACCACACAATTTTTTTCCACCGCTCCAAGCTTGCTCCTGTGATGGACTACAATCTCAATACAAACTAGTAGTCCCATCACTGGAGCCATTTTTAATTTTTTTTTATTGTTTATCCGATTAACCGATTAATCGAACTTAATAATCGGCTAACTAATCGATTTTGAAAATAATCGTTAGCTGCAGCTCTAGTCAAAAGCTGTTGGCAAACCTTTTTGCATAAGCCATCTTGGTAATTATGGTCATTGATGCTTTACCTTAAAACTCCAATTTGTACAAGAAAAGAAAACCAATGATCACAAATGGCATTGCAGATTCTAAACTGTTTCTGTTCTGTAGATACTGAGAGAAGCCATTGTGATAACTTCGTCTAGTTAAGTAGGAGGAGAAAACCTGCATGTAGATGTACGGCTGGTATATCAGCATTGATGAGAGGGACACAGCAGCTCATGTGCAGGCAAGACTGGGGATATCAGAGATATTGAGGCTGCGTGGAGATTGTTCAAGCAATAAACTATGCAAATATTCGCTTCAGTTGATTGGATAATTGAATATTTGCACCATTTATAGCGTGAACATTCTCAACCCCTTTAGTAAACCAGCCTCAAGCTTTGCACCAACCTTTGGGAAAACCAATAAGACATGAGCAGGGGGATGAGATATCCAGGGTACTTCCGTGCATGAAGTTTGCACACACTCTTCCATTGCCTTGCTTGTGAGGGAACAAATCTGAACTGGCCAGCAGGTCACAAACCGTAGACTGGAATCCGTAGATCGGAAAGGTAAAATACGGAAATTGCAATGACAGATCTGCTTAATGAAATGGAGTTCCCCTTTAATAATCTTGCAACTGATAGCAAAATGTGGCATGGAAATGAGCAGTGCCGAGTATCATTTAGGACAATGGTTCTTCTTTTCTAATTGGTGATGGATCAGTAGAACAATTTGCATAGATGACAGATTAGGTCCGCAAGCCTCACAGGTAAAATAACCGCGGTCTGTGGGTGGGGACATCAGTTCCTTGTTCTCAGGACAGCGTGAGTACTCTCTCATATTTCATGTGTTGGGGGTTTGCCTGTTGTCTGGGTGGTCTAGCTTGGGCATGACTTTAAAATCAATATGAACATTCACTTTAAAAGGCCCAACGGGTCTCGACCACAAGGGTCCAAATATCGGTCTGCCACAAGGCAGCTGACTCGGCCGACCAGGAATCAGGCGGCATCAAAGCAGGAAATGTGGGGGGGGGGGTTTGCACATAGTCATTCTACAAATCTCACAGTAACCACGTCTACATCCATCCACTAAATAACTTCTTTGCACCCTGACATTTTTATTTTTTTATATATATTTTTTTCTCCTGATGCCTTTCCTTGTTCCACATTTGCACATGAAAAGACGGATCCTTTTTTTTGTTGTTTCTAGTATAAAGAGATGAGCCTTAAATAGCTGCAGCACGTTGGCTTCTATCAACCAGCGCCGTTTATCTCGCCTTCCCCGACCCCGCGCTGCAGATAATCTCTAGTGATGCTCCGGTCAAGTGTCTTGCCTGAGGAAGTCACGTGGCGGCACAAAAACCTTTAAATCCTCCCAGATTCTGTGTGTCTGGGTTGGATTGCATTCGCTGGCGAATGTCGGTGAGAATGGGGGATATGCGGCGGGCGGGGAGGGTGTATGCAGATGGGGATTAGACATTCAATTATCAGATTGCGGTCGGTGAATGTGTTTTATAATTGCAGCAAATCAATCCTCTGTCATTCTGTAAACAAGCCTCACAGCGTCCTATAACCCAAATGACAGATATCGATAAGCTGAGCTCCCTGCTGGCTTCATAGATTTCCTGAGGACACTGGGGATTAGATGTTCCACCTCTGAGCCGCCATGGTGTCTCAGTCCTCCTGCTTCAGCAGGTGTAATGTTATGTACATACAAAGAGGAGAGGACCCCCCGTAATGGCTGTGAGGAGCAGGAACTGGAGCCTCAGAGTAACTCTTATCAATGAGGTCTACCATTAGAATAATGTAACATTGTATCAAATACACTTTATTAGTATATTGTGTACATTTCTAGCCGAATGCCTGGAATGAGGTGCTGTGTGAACTCCGTGGCTCTGTGACACCTCGCACTTTTTGTTCACTTTGGACAGAAAATGGTGCATATTACATCATTTTAAACTGAATCAAGACGAGATGGAGGCAATGAGGAGAAGAGGCTTCTGGGTAGTCTGTATAATAAGATTCGTCAGTAACCATTATAACCAGTAACCAGTATAAAAAGAATTGTCAGTGGTTGGGGGCAGCCACTTCTCTCCATTGAGTACGCACAGACCTTGCACCATGCAAAACGCTGCCATGCCCGAGGGCATCATAAATGCAAATGCGGCCCCTCTGAAATCCCTGGCCAGCCTTTATTGCCCTGGGCCAGAGGATGTTTTTGTGTTGCATCCCACAAAAAATCAGAATGAAGAAAGAGCAATGTGTTTTAGTAAGGGTTCCAGGATGGACAGTCCACGTCAGTAGATTCAAGTGGTGAGAAAGTCGAATGTTCCTTTCACTTTTCGGACGTTGTGTGGATGTGGCCCTCGCCAGAGCAGACGTTTCCCTTAGAGGAAACAGAGAAGGGAGGTTGTGTAGGGAATAAAGCGTACTTGTTGTTTTGTTTTTATTTTCCAAAAACCAGTTTGCTGTCTGTCGGTGCGCTATAAAATTGTGATGTTAGCACCTGCAGTGATGTCATAAGATCCCAATGGATTGATTGTCTGGATTTTTCCTTCAACCTACAGTCCTGCCTGTTCTGTGTCACTAATGTCTCTCTTCTGCTCTCTCAGTACACAGGGCCTGACCCCAGTGAGTCTCCCATGTCACGGTATGACAGGACCCAGCCAACCCGGAACCACCGGACCAACCCTTGCTGCCTCTGCTGGTGTTGCTGCTGCAGCTGTTCCTGGTACGTTGCCGAGCCAGTATGTCTAATGTAATACATGGGGTTACCCTTAACCAGGGGTAGGTAACTCCAGCCTGTGGTAATTTGCTTCCGCTTTATCCAACTTGCATATGACTGTAAAGGTCGCTAAAAGATACATAGGTGAACCAGCGAGCCACACAAGAGAAATATATATTGAGCACGGTTCCCATGGCCGGCTATTTGGAAAAAGAGACAGGCGGGTGATCACAGTCTCGGAACCCAAGGCACTCTGCAAGAGATGCGGGGAATGTACCCGTCACTAGTGATGCCGCTGGGAGGAAGTGTCCCTAATGTCTCCCTCCACACCAGCAACATCTCTCTATGACATAGTCACCAGAAAGTTTTTCTAGTCGACCCGGTGACAGAGACTTGTCCAGCCCTGATTTAAAGTGACATTAAACCCTCAGATTTGTTAACATAAACCAATACTGTAAGGCACAGTAACCCATGGTTGTTTCCCTTCTCTTTGCTGCTCTTCCTTTTAAATCCTCATGTCTTCTCATGCTGGGGGAGAACTTCCCTTTGCAGCTCAGGGCCTCTTCCTGTAGTGCTGACTCAGGTTACAAACCAATACACAGACACCATGTAGCCATTCCAGAGACAAGGCAGTCTGCTGCAAATGGAAGTTCTCCCCAAGCATGAGAAGAGATACAGATTTAAAAGGAAGAGCAGCAAAGAGAAGAGAAACAACCATGGATTACAGTAAGGCGCACATTACAGTATTGTTTTATGTTAAAAAAATCTGAGGGTTTAATGTCACTTTAAGCTGATCTTTTCCACTTGAATGTCTAAAAGCATTAAAAAGATCCCAGTTACCTTTTATACTCCCTACAGGGCCTAAGAAGTCCTTTACTATATGAAGCGCTCGGGCAGAGTTCAAAGAGCAAGAGAAGAGATACATGATCTTTCATAAAACTGGCCAATTTCCACCTCCGCACTAGTTTATCACATAGAACATAAAGGGAATGTGTAGTTGTGTGTTCATGTTTTCTTTCTTTATTAAAAGTATATTAAAAAGGTAAAATATACTGTACATGCAGAACAGAATGGCTCCCTTATAAGTCAGCTCAGAATGGAGTTTCCATCAGGTAGTCACAAGTCATGATGGGCTCGGGCGTGTTCGCAGCTCCACGTGCCGAGCCTGCCAGGAAGCTGACAGCGCCGCAGCGCCAATCACAGTCACTGAGACATATCCCGATCTCTGCAGCTGCGGACCGGGATAATGTCTCAATGCCTGTGATTGGCGCTGTCAGCTTCCTGGCGGGCTTGGCAGGTGGAGCTGCGAACATGCCTGAGCCCATCACTAGTCACAAGGCAGGCATCTACTTCTGTGCTTAATTTAGCTAGCCCATAGCAGTCTGGGAATCCTTTGCCATGTATTACATTTAAAACTGTATTTCTTCCTCATCCATTGAGAGACACAGGAAGTCTTAAATCTTTGGGTTATACTGCCACCTAGAGGAGGATTGGACACTGGCAAACCAAAATGCTATAGAACAGCCCAGGATATCCCCCCCTGCTACCAGCATGATAGCTTATGTCTTAGGAGGATAGACGTCTTTTGATGTCATCTTTTGTGATGAGTTAAGACTCTTCTCTACTTTGCTGCTGGAGCTGTTTGTCTTTGAATACAGCAATCTGTGCCTGGCCTTAGAGTACTGCTTCTGAACCTTGCTGGCCTGAAGCATATTAATGAAGTTGATAAATTACATGCAGGTGTACCTGGAGGTAGCCAACTCCTCCTAATAAGGTGCAGGGACGCACTGGAGGCCCAGCAACCAAAAATGCACGCTGGGACTCCAGTGCGTCCCCCTAACCAAAAATAGTCAAACTAGAAAAAGTGGTGCATGCATGAATCTATAACCGGCCTTTATAGCAGGGCGCACATTGGGAAGGCCCTGCTATAAAGGCTGGTTATAGATTCATGCATGTACCATTTTTTCTATAGATAGTAAGCAGCTTTCCCTAGCTGGCAGCACCTGGACCCAGAGGTGTTCTAAGACCTGTGTTGCAGTTTGGGGTTGCCCAACATCTACCTCCTGGTTCAACAACAAGTTGGACAAGTTTGCCTTCAGGTGCAGGGATCCTCTAGTGGAACCAGTGACTGCTTTGGTGGCTCTGTTAGATCAGTACTCCATGATCAATGCCTTTCCTGCCCTGAAACTTCTACCGCCTTTACCTCACAGGATCAAGATGGGGCTTTCCAGTGCTTCTTTTTGCACTAGACTGGCACAGGCAGATGTGGTACACCAACCTGTTAAGACTCCTGGCATTTGCTCTGTGAGATGATCTGACTCAGATCATCAAGATCTTTAATTCCAAGGACTGATTTGCCATCCAGTTTCATGTTCGTGGCTTTAACGGCATTGCAGTTGAAGCTCAGGTGCTGAGGGACAGGGGCACATCTTGAGTCTGTGATTCCTACAGTGCTAAAAGCTAGTACGTTTACTTCCCACAATGTATATCATCAGACATGAAAGGCTTACCTCACTTGGTGTGAGTCACTGGGCTTATACTGCAGGGGTTTCTCCTTCCTGTAGCTGGGTTCTGAACAAGTGTTTGGCTTTCAGTACTATCAGTGGTCCGGTTTCTGCCCTTTTGTTTCAGAGACCATTGTCCTTTCACTCTTTGATTTGGACCTTTGTACAGAGGGGGTCTCCCATATACAGTATCTCCTCCCATCCTTTCCACTGTTACTCGTAGGATTTGTATCCGGTTCTCTCTGTGCTTCCAAAACTGCCATTTTGCCAATAAAAGACATTTATTTATTTGTTCTTACCCACAAGGTTGTGTTTCTTGTAGCCATCACCCGTATCGGGCAAGTGTCTATACTAGCAGCCTTATCCTGCAAGGAACCCTCTCTGGGTTTGCAAAGGGACAAGGTAGTATTGAAGCCAAGGACTTCTTTCTTGTCAATGGTAGTTTCTGCTTTTCACCTCAACCAGGACATTTTCTGCTCTCCCTCTGTGTTGGTCTAGTTCACCCAAAGGAAATGTCCCTCCATTGGATGTGATTCAGGCTGTGAGAGACTCGTACACTGTTATTTTGAGAAATCCCGGTTTCCTTTTTGTCATCCTGGATGGACCTGAAACAGTGCACTGGCTTCTTGTTCCAGCATCTGTAGGTGGCTCAGACAGACTATCATACAAGTATATTGTTTTTATCATCAAGCTTTTCATCATCAAGCAACTGTTTCTCAGATGAGCAACTCTGCCCCCTAGTCTTCTTTTCACACGTTCTCTATCTTCTGCCAGGTGGACAATTCAGGTCTCATCTGATGCCAACTTCTGGTGTGGGTCCTTCAGATGAGCCGCAGGCAGTTCCTAGTTCTGTGGGGTTTTCTTGGGCCTGTTAGCGTTTGGTTGATGTGCTGCCCACCCCTCAGTTGCCTGCATTTTGATGTAAGGGTTTAAGACTTCCTGTGTCCCACACTGGACGAGAAAGAATCATAGGCATTTTGTCACAGTAAAACCCTTTTCTTGCAGTCCATTGAGGTACACAGGTCCCATCCCTCTGTGTCTATGATCATTCTGTCAGAACTGATTTGATACAAAACTGAAGCATGTTGGTAGTGAGAGGGGCTATCCTGGGCTGGCCTACAGTTTCCTTCTCTCTTACTGTCCAATCCTGTAGGCGGCAGTATGACCTAAAGGTTTAAGGCTTCCTGTGGACTCTAAGTGGATGTTACAGTGAGTACCTACACACCATTCTTCTTTAGCTTTGGATAAAGTGGTGCTGGGTTAGAAGAACAAAGATCATTTAACACATACATATGAATCCATGAGTTGGTCAGGCTAACCGCTGCATGCTCTCTTCTTGGGTGCAGATGGCGACTGTGATTTCATCTTTTCTATTCTTATTTGTGTAATTATGTAATTAAGGACACGAATCACATCACCCTCGCTCTTTATGCTGCCTATTCTGTTCCTGTTTTATCATCTCAAATAATTCAGACCCTGTTATCTGTTTCATTCTGTCGTGGCCAGGAATGAAGACCGCAATAGACTTCGGAGGCTGTCTAGAGACACAAAGTTGGAGACCGTCTCTCACTGTGAGGTCTGGTAAGTGAAATTTCGTTCTGCAGGACAAAAGGGGTGCAATTCCAGCCAACAAGTGAGATCAACCAATGATATGAAAATGTTATCCCGAAAACTATGACCTTAGTCTGAGTAATCACATGCAGCCAGATTACAAAGACCACCTCACATGAGTATAACCGGTCCCTTACTGACCACTAAAGTGTATGGACAGATGGATGGAATGTAAGCTAAAGCTTCACACAACCCTCAAGAAAAACATTTCCGCAGAGGCATTGATGCCAATAACAGTATGATGGCAGAAATATTGTGCAATGAAATTATAAAAAGGCGCCAAATAATGAATGTGAAATACCTGTGCTGAAGTTCCTTGCCGAAATTGAACCATTTGGTGATATAAATGGAGCACGGGTTAAGAGAGTCTCAGAGTTCAGGAGGTGGAGACCACCCTTCGGGGAAGTAATTTCAGCCTCAGAAAAGGGACTCTTCAGGATATAGTAGATTTATCAAATACTATTTGTGAAGGGTTCATGTTTTAAGTGGAGTGTTCCTTTTAAATGGTAAGACTTGGGCTCCAGTATTTACATTCCGACCTTCTTCTCACTTGTCTCTCCAAGCAGCACAATGCCGTCCTCAGAAGAGGTGCACAGCTGGAGCCACTCCTTCGAGAAGCTGATGAAGAATCCCGCCGGGCGCAACGTGTTCCGCGAGTTTTTGCGCACCGAGTACAGCGAGGAGAACATGCTCTTCTGGCTGGCCTGCGAGGAGCTGAAGAAGGACAACAGCAAACACAGCATGGAAGAGAAGGCACGCATGATCTACGAGGATTACATCTCTATCTTGTCTCCGAAGGAGGTAAACGTGGCCACACCCAGAACCCAACCCCCTGTCCCAAAGCCCAAAGTATTTCCACCTAAACCACCCAGATCATCCGCAGCCACCAGAAATCACAGCCAACAAACTGACACGTGACTCGCTGATGCCTGCTGGCAGTGCTGCCAATTGCAGGTTCCAGAGACCCATGTAGCCAGCCGCATTGACCTATGACCTTTCTCCCAAAAGCACAAATATTTCCCGGGAGAGAAGTGCTGGTTTTTGATGGCAGCAATGGAAATCGGATGCTTAGACTGGTATTCAGAGGCAATTTTATACATATCTATCTAAAATAAGGGGAAAAGTTGAGCTGTGCTGATTTAAGAGTAACCCCCCCTCCCCCCTATCTTTTTTATTATTTATAGTGCATCAGGAAATATATAAAACGTTAATATCTTTTGTGAATTGCTAATGTGCATTATTGGTTTGACTCATGCTTGTGGTTGTACTGCCCTCTTGTGGGTAAATGGCTAACTGCAGGTATTTTTAGGTTGATAGTTTATCAACAGCATGGCAATAGCAGAAAGGCCACTCCGGCTGTAATACTCTGGGATTATAGGAGAAAGTGCCTCTGTGGGGATTGTATATTTTTGCCCTTCTACTCATGAAGCTCCCCTTTAAGGGGGCAGATTTTTATGGCAAAATAGTCATTAGGCAACACAGGTTTGTCATGTGATCATTGTCAGATTCTGACATGATTCATAGTGTGTATATTACTACATGTGATTCCTCCTGTTCCTTTCCCCAAGGATGCTTGCACGGGGTGCAGTAATAGCATTTAGGAACTATACATCTGCCTCTGTAAACCTGAACTGACAGAATTATAAACCAAAGATCAGTGTGCGACCGCTTCTACTGTAAGGTCGCACGACTTTCGTCTTCCGAGCTCGCTGGCAAACCTGCCGAAAATCGTGCGATTTTCGGCGGGTTGGTGGTGTGCTCGGGAGACGAATGCCGCACGGGCCGGTGTGCGCAAGCGCACACTGCCCGCACGGCACTCCAATCATGGGAAGCCCACCCCTCAGTGGGGAGGGCTTGTGATGATCGCAATTACGATCTGCCTGTCCAAGATGTGCAGATCGTTCGGAATTTTAATCACCTTACAACCATCGCACAACGAAAGTGGTGCAATGGTTGTAAGGTGTATGGGTAGCTTTAGATCCTCCTCCCAAAGATCTGTGGCTTGTGGAGCCGTAGAAGCCTTCACAGAGGATGAATGGCGGGTGTTCACAGAGGATGAATGGCGGGTGTTCACAGAGGATGAATGGCGGGTGTTCACAGAGGATGAATGGCGGGTGTTCACAGAGGATGAATGGCGGGTGTTAGTCTTGCAATGCCTCTTGGGACTTGTAGTTGCACCACAGCCGGAGGGCCGGAGTTTGCTCACCTCTGCAATACATTTTTGTGTGATTTATTCTCATAAGATATCATTGAGCTGCAACTGCCTATAGAATCTGTATTATGAATTGGGAAACATTTGTTATCAAAGATTTAGATTTGGCTAACACACATTGATTTATTTCACTTGGTGTCCCCGCACCCAGTGTGTCCCCGCACCAAGTGTGTCCCCGCACCCAGTGAAACATCGGCAGTTTGCAGCTCTTATTGAATCTTGCTGTTTGCATTTTCAGTGCTGCCCGGTGATACCTCCTCGCGTGTTGGGGGTATTTAAAGGGTAGACGGGGAGGAGGTACGATTTTACGCAATTTAGGAATTTTACTTTGTTTTTAATTTTTGTTTTTGTTTCATTTTCTGAATGTTGTGGGGTACAGGCGATTTCTCCTCGCTGGTGTGGAAGATTTTTAGGTGACCTGGTGGGTGGGGGGCTGGGCAGAGGTTCCGCTGCCTTAGTACATAACATAATCCACTTACTCATAAGGCCCCAGTCACTTACAGTCTGGGGCTCTGTTTACAGTGATGACTTTTCTGAACCCTCTGCCGAAAATTGAGACGTTGTGGATGTTTCATCTTCGTCTTTGTCGAGAAATGTGCATATGTCATTTGAGTTCTATTCACACTGCCAACCCCAGAAAGTAGATGGAAACCCCAGCGGGATGACATTTAGTTTGCGAGAAGGCCTATGTATCATAAACAATTGCCATTTTTTTCCCCCCCCCATTAAATATTGTTTTTACTTTTTCTCCATCTCAGAGTTTCTGATCCCCCTGCAGCCACTTCCTGTCTACATGCACTCAGTCCAGCATCAGCTGCACATCATTGCTCTGGTACGGGCAACCCGAAGGTGACAACGGTGGACCATGCCTGTACCAATGTGTGTCAGCACGGCCACTTGAAGTCTCAACCCAGGGGTGCATGTGACAGGGTGGAGCACAATTGGGAGGCAGTTGTCATCCTGTAACAGGAAGTGCCTGGACAAGAACCTCAGTTGCAGGATCATCAGGTATTCTTTTCACAAAAGATTGTAAAGGTTTGTAAACACGTGTTGAAAATAACATTAGCCTGTTAAAGCTTGTATGGGAAAGCAGCGCTTGGGATCTATTTTAAAGCAAAGCTGGACACAAAACATCTCCGCCGGCATTATGTAAAAAGCAACAAACCCTGATTATGGGGTTCCCCGTGTCACACACATGTTAGTGTTAAATACAGACTACAGAACACCTCCCACCTTATGGAGATGAAGAGAGGAAGTACTCACCCAAATGCTCTGATACTTACCCCCGATACCAGAACTTCTGGTCAGAGGGACATTTCCTCTAACCGGCAGTGCCGCAAGAGCACATGGAGCTGGCTTCCAGGCCAACCAGGAAGCTGGGCGGTCGGTAATGACTCTCTGCCCGGCTTCCTGATTGGCTGGGAAGCCAGCCCCATGCTGTTTAGCTGGCTCCATGTTGATTGGCCCGGAAGCCGGCTTCCTAAACAATCAGCATTGAGCTAGCCAAACAGCATGAAGCCAGCTTCCTGGCCAATCAGGAAGCCGGGCGGCAGGTAATGACAGGACTGTCTGGCTTCCAGATTGGCTGATAAGCCGGCTCCATGCTAGCGGAAGTACCACTATCGAATACCGAAAGACAAATATCGATACTCGATCCGAAAAAACGGTATTGGTGCATCCCTAATAAACACCCAAAACCTTGTAAGAGGACACGACACAATGCAAGATTTTTGGGTACTCAGCATTCCGAGGGATCCCACCGGAAAGAACGGTGACATCACGTTGCCTAGGCACTGCGGACGGACGCCAGGGTAAATATATTAGCTGACTTTAGGGTTGGGTGAAACAAAGGAACAGAACTTGCAGTGAAGGTGCTTTCAGGTATTTCCTGTGACTTGTATTGGAACTTAAACCTTTTTATTACAATTGAATATGACGTCACCTTGTCTGTTGTGGCCAACAGAAGATCCGGAGGAGGAGGTGGAGGTGCCTCATAGGTCAAGAACTCATTTGACGGAGACCCGTGCTTGATTCCTTGGCACAATGGTCTTCTCTATCGATGACGATGTTCTATTTGTCAAATCAAAGAATACTTTGATTGTGTTTTGAGTCATGTGACGCCGGAGGGCTTATTCTTTTTATTTGCGGTCCATGATCATGGTTTTATTGAGGTGAAAGCTCTGGCTGACGTAGTTTTAACCCTTTGGTGTAGCTGGTGAACGGCTTGTACTTGTTTGATGGGACCGACAATTGGGGGGGTCCTAGTGTGGAGGAGATCACTGAGAGACTGACACCCTTTGTCTAGTTATCAGCAGTGATTATGCTGCTTTGGCTGGAAGTATTCGATGTGTTGGCCTTCCTCTTATTGTAGTTTCATTGGCTGGGGGTTAAGTCCCCGTGGTGTCTCCTGCTGGTGAAATGTCTTGTACTTTCCTGTTAGACTGTGCTTGTGTGGAGATGGCTCAGAGACCAGTGTCCTCTGGTGGGTGTAGAGGAGAACTGAGGCCTGAGGTATCTGTTGGGGGTCTTATCCAATTGGTCCTAGCCTTGTCTTTGTGAGATAGAACGAGCACCTCAATGGTGACATGTCGTGGTGATGAGGTATAACTGCGGGGTGTACCTTGTGGGTTAGAGTTCTGCCTTACAGCCAGTGATTGTTATTTTTACTCGGCTAATCATTTCACTTCTTTTGTTGGGAGAGTTCTGTCTGTAAGAGACTTTTGGAGTTGGCATGTCGCTGTTTGGGTGAAATGTCATCAACTCCCAAGATGGACTCTCCAGAGAACTAGTTCACGTGTGAGCTCTATGAGTTTCTATAATAACCTGTTTGTATGAAGATGGGTCAGAGGGCGATACTCAGAACTCTGGGTACTTACACATGAACCTGGTTTAGTAGTTTACTTATTATTATTTTTTTGTATTGTACAAATGGTTCCCAATCCTGAAATAGAAGAACGAGCACTTCAATGGTTGAGCTGAGGCAATATATGTTGCAGTGATGTCACAGACTATGGACCGAAGAGGGGGTAGTCCACACTCTATTGTGATGCACACACATGTTACAGGCCTGTGGGGGCCTGGGACTGGAGCAGACGGGTGGGTTGTCCATGGCCTCCAAGCTTTCACTCAGCGATTCGAGTCTACTGTGCTTCCATGTACTCGCCCTTGGGGGGTCTACAGTGCTCTTGTGGTATTGCACTCGGGGGGGTCTACAGCACTATCATGGATTTGCACTTGAGGTCTGCAGCGCTCTCATTGGTGGGCCCTTGGGGGTCTACAGCACTTGTGTGGATTTGAACTCAGGTCTATGGCGCCCTGGGTCAACGCTCTTATCCACTGAGCTACTCGCCTCTGCTCAGCAACTCATGTGTTCATTCTCCTATTTCAGGAGTGATAAGTCGGCACAAATTCAGAAAGCAAAACTGAGATTCGAACCGGCGACTCCAAAATATCTGCTGGGCCATAGACGAGCGCCTAAACCTCTGAGCCAGGTGGCCCTTTGTCTAGCAGGCCCGTCATTCAGGACTTAGGAAGTGAAATGTGATCAGCGACTCTTATAAATTTAATTTAGAAGAACCGGGAATCGAACCTACGACTCCAAAATCACTTCTGGGCCCGGCTGCCAAACCCCTACGCCAGAGCCAAGGTCTGATGGTGGGGGTTTAGCAGCCAGCCCTTCAAACATCTGGAAGTAGGAAATCAGGAAAATATACTTAGTATATATATTAAAAAAAGATCATTGATTGTGAGTAAAAAGTGGGACTTAGAATATTTTTTCCTTCTTTGGATCAGCTGTGACTCAGACACTTAGCAGTCAGCCCTTTACACATCAAGACTTAGTACATACAATCATCATTGATGTGTTCCATTCATGATGTGCTCCTCCCATTTTGCATAATTGGCAGATTAATGAAGATTGGCACCAGGTGATCCAATATCCCTCCCGCCATCAATATTTATAATGAGCTGGGACTTATCTCTTCTTATTAATTTATGGGGTTGTGGGCAGAATGTTTAGCAGATGGGCTGTCCTCCAATTTCAGACCCACAGGTTGGGATGAGTTGATGATGATGACGGCACACAGGTTGGGTTGGGTTGAGTTGATGATGATGACGGCACACAGGTTGGGTTGAGTTGAGTTGATGATGATACGAGTTCAGTCTTAAGGTGGCCATACACTCTACAACCATCGCAAGACTTTAGTCTTGCGATGGTTGAAAAGGGATTAAAAAAACGTACGATCTGCCTATCTTGGACAGGCAGATCGCACTCTCGATCATCGCAAGCCCGCCCTCCTGAGGGGCGGGCTTCCGATGACCGCAATGCTGAACGGGCAGTGTGCGCGTGCGCACACCGGCCCGTTCAGCATTCATCTTCCGAGCACTGTTCTAACTAGCCGAGAATCGTACGATTCCCGGTTGGTTTTCGAACATGCTGGTTCGACAGAAGACGTGCGACCGTACAGTAGAAACGGTCGCACGTCTCCGTTCACACTGCTCGATTCTCGTACGAAAACCCGATCGCATACGATTATCGTACGATAATCGTGCAGTGTATGCGCACCTTTAGAGCCGGCTTACGGGATCTGTCATGAGGAACGGTAATAGCTGTGATCTCGGAGTTCCTGGTTCTAACCCCAGTTCCAGCTCCATTGGATATCACTTATAAATACATTTGAGCGAAGCCTTATTGTTTTCATGTTTCCCTCAGAGGGCTTCAAACCCCGGTCTCCAGAAGACGGGTTCTCATTCTATTTCAGAATCATGTAGAATGCACACAAAGTGAAGGACATATCGGCACTGGCTGCACTTTGTCTGTGGCCCAGCAGGGGGCGCTGTATAAGAAAACAGAAAGTGCTACCATGACACCTTAGGACAGAGCCATTTCCACCGTACTATGTTCACGGCACTGAAATACAGAGAACTTTGCCCCGCTGTGTTTGGCTGGAGTCACCTCGCTGGGTAAGGGGCAGATTACACAACCCAAGACTCCTTTTCTGTCTACGTCACCAATCAGACTTCTGGGATCCTGAGACTACCCAGAGTGCACTGCTGGGGCCCGGCCTTCACTTACCGAAGTTCTTGTTTCCCTTAGCAACCAGATTCTGAGATGCAATGACACTGGAAAGATGAAAATGAATCCCATTGGTTGTTGGGGGTGAGAAAAGGATTTGTTCTGCACTTTACATGAAATGGATTGAACACCTTCTCTGGGTCCTGTAAGGCAGCAAAGCTATCACATCTAGAAATGGTACCTTATGGATGTTACACGGCCTTTCAATGCAGCTGGACCGTTATCGAATTCAGGCAACCTCGGCACTCCAGCTGTTGTGGAACTACAAGTCCCACGAGGCATTGCAAGACTGATGGTCACAGGCATGATGGGATTTGTGGTTTTACTACAACTGCAATGCCGAGGTTGCCTACCTCTGAGCTAACATCTATTAAGTACCACCGACGACTCCAGCTGAGGTTTCTGTGGGGAAGAAGCAAATGAACAGCTTGCCCAGTTACTATTGTAATCCCGCTGTGTGATGGAATGTCATGTATGTGCGAGCATTGGGAAGGCCGCTGTGGAGACCCCGCTCACGTTTCTCAGGCACAGGCACGGTTACTGATAAACAGCCGAAATTCACACAATGGATGCCGCTGTGGGCACCCTACCGGCCGGCATCCCTCCATCAGCTGATCAAAGTAGCCAGCTGGAATATTCTTGGGTGGACAGAGCTGGCAGCCTATCAGCTGCAGGCTCCGTTTGGGTATTCTGACAGCGGCCACTGTCAGAATACAACAAACAGCGGGAGATTCCTCCCTCAAGGCTTGTAAGCGATGATGGAGGAATCAGTTATATTTCCTTCATTCAGCCCGCAGGAAGAACGAGGAAGATATCTCCGTGTATACTCGGCTTTAGTCTTTTACACCCAGAAGACTGAGGACATCCTGTGAGTGCAGGGCATCATGGAGCCACCCCCCGAGGCTGTGTTACCTCGGCACCCCATACAATGCAGAGAGTGACACTGACGCCATCACTTCATTGCCGCTTTCTGCATCATCGAGGAGCACCCGGGCGAAGAGGAAGTAGACCCACCGTGTCATGTGACCTGCGAGGAGCAGGAAGCAAAGACTTTGTATGGACAAAAATAAAGACAACGTGGAGACAAATGTCAACTTTACTTTAAACAATTATACAAAGCGGCAAACCCCGGTTCACCACAGGTCCTCTTTATGGAATGCAAACGGCAAAAACAAGTCTTCGACGTAACTGCGAGTCCTTTCCACCAATGGGAAACAAGTCATAAAAAAACAGGATATATATAGTTCTAGATATAAGTATATACCATAGTAATGATGATGATGGCAGGCTTGGTTTTGGATTGGCGTCTTTGCATGCGGCGCAGTAATGGGCGGGAGAAGATGAGACGGGTCACTTACAGAGTCCTTAACAAAACTGCAAAAAGGAAGAGAATGGATACAAGTTAACAAAGAGACCCTGTCACCAGACAACAACAATCTCCCCCCATCACATTATATGGACATTTATTGTATTCTATTCATAAAGCCTCCCAGAGACTGCTGCAGGGGGCCACCATCTTGGATGTGATGTCATCAGACTCAGAGCTGTCACTCAAGTCTATAGTATTACCCTTTGCTCCTACTCTAGCAGCTACGTAAAAGGGAAAGAGGAGCTGGGCCAACACAGACAGAAGAGGAGAGGACTGTGAAAATACAAGGAGGGGGCTGTGCTAGGGAATTGCCATTTCTAACCGATCTAAGGGGCGTTCCTCCGACTGGCCCCCGATCTAAGGGGCATTCCTCCGCCTGGCCACCGATCTAAGGGGCATTCCTCCGCCTGGCCACCGATCTAAGGGGCATTCCTCCGCCTGGCCACCGATCTAAGGGGCATTCCTCCGCCTGGCCACCGATCTAAGGGGCATTCCTCCGCCTGGCCACCGATCTAAGGGGCATTCCTCCGCCTGGCCACCGATCTAAGGGGCATTCCTCCGCCTGGCCACCGATCTAAGGGGCATTCCTCCGCCTGGCCACCGATCTAAGGGGCATTCCTCCGCCTGGCCACCGATCTAAGGGGCATTCCTCCGCCTGGCCACCGATCTAAGGGGCATTCCTCCGCCTGGCCACCGATCTAAGGGGCATTCCTCCGCCTGGCCACCGATCTAAGGGGCATTCCTCCGCCTGGCCACCGATCTAAGGGGCATTCCTCCGCCTGGCCACCGATCTAAGGGGCATTCCTCCGCCTGGCCACCGATCTAAGGGGCATTCCTCCGCCTGGCCACCGATCTAAGGGGCATTCCTCCGCCTGGCCACCGATCTAAGGGGCATTCCTCCGCCTGGCCACCGATCTAAGGGGCATTCCTCCGCCTGGCCACCGATCTAAGGGGCATTCCTCCGCCTGGCCACCGATCTAAGGGGCATTCCTCCGCCTGGCCACCGATCTAAGGGGCATTCCTCCGCCTGGCCACCGATCTAAGGGGCATTCCTCCGCCTGGCCACCGATCTAAGGGGCATTCCTCCGCCTGGCCACCGATCTAAGGGGCATTCCTCCGCCTGGCCACCGATCTAAGGGGCATTCCTCCGCCTGGCCACCGATCTAAGGGGCATTCCTCCGCCTGGCCACCGATCTAAGGGGCATTCCTCCGCCTGGCCACCGATCTAAGGGGCATTCCTCCGCCTGGCCACCGATCTAAGGGGCATTCCTCCGCCTGGCCACCGATCTAAGGGGCATTCCTCCGCCTGGCCACCGATCTAAGGGGCATTCCTCCGCCTGGCCACCGATCTAAGGGGCATTCCTCCGCCTGGCCACCGATCTAAGGGGCATTCCTCCGCCTGGCCACCGATCTAAGGGGCATTCCTCCGCCTGGCCACCGATCTAAGGGGCATTCCTCCGCCTGGCCACCGATCTAAGGGGCATTCCTCCGCCTGGCCACCGATCTAAGGGGCATTCCTCCGCCTGGCCACCGATCTAAGGGGCATTCCTCCGCCTGGCCACCGATCTAAGGGGCATTCCTCCGCCTGGCCACCGATCTAAGGGGCATTCCTCCGCCTGGCCACCGATCTAAGGGGCATTCCTCCGCCTGGCCACCGATCTAAGGGGCATTCCTCCGCCTGGCCACCGATCTAAGGGGCATTCCTCCGCCTGGCCACCGATCTAAGGGGCATTCCTCCGCCTGGCCACCGATCTAAGGGGCATTCCTCCGCCTGGCCACCGATCTAAGGGGCATTCCTCCGCCTGGCCACCGATCTAAGGGGCATTCCTCCGCCTGGCCACCGATCTAAGGGGCATTCCTCCGCCTGGCCACCGATCTAAGGGGCATTCCTCCGCCTGGCCACCGATCTAAGGGGCATTCCTCCGCCTGGCCACCGATCTAAGGGGCATTCCTCCGCCTGGCCACCGATCTAAGGGGCATTCCTCCGCCTGGCCACCGATCTAAGGGGCATTCCTCCGCCTGGCCACCGATCTAAGGGGCATTCCTCCGCCTGGCCACCGATCTAAGGGGCATTCCTCCGCCTGGCCACCGATCTAAGGGGCATTCCTCCGCCTGGCCACCGATCTAAGGGGCATTCCTCCGCCTGGCCACCGATCTAAGGGGCATTCCTCCGCCTGGCCACCGATCTAAGGGGCATTCCTCCGCCTGGCCACCGATCTAAGGGGCATTCCTCCGCCTGGCCACCGATCTAAGGGGCATTCCTCCGCCTGGCCACCGATCTAAGGGGCATTCCTCCGCCTGGCCACCGATCTAAGGGGCATTCCTCCGCCTGGCCACCGATCTAAGGGGCATTCCTCCGCCTGGCCACCGATCTAAGGGGCATTCCTCCGCCTGGCCACCGATCTAAGGGGCATTCCTCCGCCTGGCCACCGATCTAAGGGGCATTCCTCCGCCTGGCCACCGATCTAAGGGGCATTCCTCCGCCTGGCCACCGATCTAAGGGGCATTCCTCCGCCTGGCCACCGATCTAAGGGGCATTCCTCCGCCTGGCCACCGATCTAAGGGGCATTCCTCCGCCTGGCCACCGATCTAAGGGGCATTCCTCCGCCTGGCCACCGATCTAAGGGGCATTCCTCCGCCTGGCCACCGATCTAAGGGGCATTCCTCCGCCTGGCCACCGATCTAAGGGGCATTCCTCCGCCTGGCCACCGATCTAAGGGGCATTCCTCCGCCTGGCCACCGATCTAAGGGGCATTCCTCCGCCTGGCCACCGATCTAAGGGGCATTCCTCCGCCTGGCCACCGATCTAAGGGGCATTCCTCCGCCTGGCCACCGATCTAAGGGGCATTCCTCCGCCTGGCCACCGATCTAAGGGGCATTCCTCCGCCTGGCCACCGATCTAAGGGGCATTCCTCCGCCTGGCCACCGATCTAAGGGGCATTCCTCCGCCTGGCCACCGATCTAAGGGGCATTCCTCCGCCTGGCCACCGATCTAAGGGGCATTCCTCCGCCTGGCCACCGATCTAAGGGGCATTCCTCCGCCTGGCCACCGATCTAAGGGGCATTCCTCCGCCTGGCCACCGATCTAAGGGGCATTCCTCCGCCTGGCCACCGATCTAAGGGGCATTCCTCCGCCTGGCCACCGATCTAAGGGGCATTCCTCCGCCTGGCCACCGATCTAAGGGGCATTCCTCCGCCTGGCCACCGATCTAAGGGGCATTCCTCCGCCTGGCCACCGATCTAAGGGGCATTCCTCCGCCTGGCCACCGATCTAAGGGGCATTCCTCCGCCTGGCCACCGATCTAAGGGGCATTCCTCCGCCTGGCCACCGATCTAAGGGGCATTCCTCCGCCTGGCCACCGATCTAAGGGGCATTCCTCCGCCTGGCCACCGATCTAAGGGGCATTCCTCCGCCTGGCCACCGATCTAAGGGGCATTCCTCCGCCTGGCCACCGATCTAAGGGGCATTCCTCCGCCTGGCCACCGATCTAAGGGGCATTCCTCCGCCTGGCCACCGATCTAAGGGGCATTCCTCCGCCTGGCCACCGATCTAAGGGGCATTCCTCCGCCTGGCCACCGATCTAAGGGGCATTCCTCCGCCTGGCCACCGATCTAAGGGGCATTCCTCCGCCTGGCCACCGATCTAAGGGGCATTCCTCCGCCTGGCCACCGATCTAAGGGGCATTCCTCCGCCTGGCCACCGATCTAAGGGGCATTCCTCCGCCTGGCCACCGATCTAAGGGGCATTCCTCCGCCTGGCCACCGATCTAAGGGGCATTCCTCCGCCTGGCCACCGATCTAAGGGGCATTCCTCCGCCTGGCCACCGATCTAAGGGGCATTCCTCCGCCTGGCCACCGATCTAAGGGGCATTCCTCCGCCTGGCCACCGATCTAAGGGGCATTCCTCCGCCTGGCCACCGATCTAAGGGGCATTCCTCCGCCTGGCCACCGATCTAAGGGGCATTCCTCCGCCTGGCCACCGATCTAAGGGGCATTCCTCCGCCTGGCCACCGATCTAAGGGGCATTCCTCCGCCTGGCCACCGATCTAAGGGGCATTCCTCCGCCTGGCCACCGATCTAAGGGGCATTCCTCCGCCTGGCCACCGATCTAAGGGGCATTCCTCCGCCTGGCCACCGATCTAAGGGGCATTCCTCCGCCTGGCCACCGATCTAAGGGGCATTCCTCCGCCTGGCCACCGATCTAAGGGGCATTCCTCCGCCTGGCCACCGATCTAAGGGGCATTCCTCCGCCTGGCCACCGATCTAAGGGGCATTCCTCCGCCTGGCCACCGATCTAAGGGGCATTCCTCCGACTGGCCACCGATCTAAGGGGCATTATTCCCACCAACCTCCAATGCATTTGGATTTAGCAGGGGGTTCCCTGAGACGTGGAAACTATTTGAAGGGTTCCTCTGTTTGGGAAAGCTGCTTTAACCCAATCGGAAGAAGACAGATCAGGAGGGATTTCATTACAATTGGCATTCCTCTGCACCTGGCTGCCTGCTAACTTCCAACAGCTGCCAGACTGTCACATCCTAATCCAGGGGTAACCATATCCGGCCCCCCAGCTGTGCTTTACCTACAAATCCCATCATGCCTCTGGGAGCCATCCCTGTGGCTGTCAAGAGTCTTGCAATGCCTCATGGGACTTGTAGTTCCACAACAGCCGGAAGGCAGGAGTTACCTACCTCTGTCGTAACCGCTATGCCCCTGTTAGCAAGTTTCCCACTCCCTGTCCCAGTCATCACACAGGAAATGAGGAGAAATCTCCCCAGCGGGACACAAGCAGTAGTAAAAACCTGACAGGGGTCCTTGCTCCTCTTCACTGAAGTTTCGGCTGGAGTTAACCACGAACATTGAAAGCAATGTAGAAATTCAGCGATGAAGCCGTGCACTTACTTTCCATCGGTTTCCACACTCGTTGCACACAACAAACGTGGTCATTGGTTCATCAGCACTGCGTGTCTGCACCTACAAGAGAGACGCACATGTTATGTACATACATGACGCCATTGCTTCTCTGTATTATAACATTCACCAAGTTACCCCCCTGGTGCATGCTACTTGTTAGATCTTAAAGAGGACCTGTACTTAGCCCATACTGGAACCACTCGCTCCCCTGACACGTCCCCTGCCTTCCCACAATGCACTGGTGTCTCAGAGGCCAGTCACCTGTTCACTGGAGAGGAGAGCAAGACCACCGGGAAGTTTCATCTTGCATGGAAATGTGCACAGAGCAGATCAAGGGAAGTGCACACTGGTTATCCTCCACAGAGTGAAGTGCCCAGTATAAGGATATGTCAGGTGTATAAGGATCGTACAGTACTAGAGTTTCATACATGTATCCCTTAAATCAGTGGTTCTCAACTCATGGGTCGCGACCCAAAAGTGGGTCGCGAGCCCTTCTGCAGTGGGTCGCGGCGCCATCACGGCAATCACGGGTCGCGGCGCAATCACGGCAGGCTTACTCCCCAGCGACCCCCCACCCCAAACTTTCATACTCACCCATGCACGCTCCTGTCAGACCCACGCTGTGCCGCACAGACGCTGCTGGAGACCATTCATGTGCAGAACAGACGGCCGGACCAGAAGAATGGAGGAGATGTTTTTGGCAAATGTAGGAGGTGAAGTACCAGACAGCGAGTATGAGGGGCTCAGTGTGGGCTGCACAGTGTCACAGAAGTATGGATAGGGGAGGGGGAGAGAAAAGGAGAGAGAAAGAGCGAAAGAGAAAAAAAGAAAGAAATAAGGAGAGAGAGAAAGAAAGAAAGAGAGAGAGGGAGACAGAAAGAAAGAAAAAGGAGAGAGAAAGAGATGGAGAAAGAGCAAGAGAGAGAGAAAAGAAAAAGAGAGGGAGAGAGAAAAGAAAGTGTTCCTGTGGAAGCCCGTTGAGTGCCTTCCAATCTTCGTCATGCTACTACATTTGTGTACAGCACCATGCCAGTACTTCTCGGACGTAGTGCTGGTACTGCTACTCAATATTGATATAAATAAAGTTTTAATGATGATTTTTTTCAGGAGTATTTGGGCTACATGTCACACATCACGTCCATACATCATCAGACCCGTCACTGTGCAGTCACATCCAGCAGCGCCCTCTAGTGGCTCTCCAGCACAGGTACATCCAGCACTCACCTGGGTGTAAGTGCAGTTTTTCTTCTTGCATTTGCCGCAGGAGAAGAGATCCGTCTGCGTTCCTCCCGTCTTCCCCATCTGATGCTCCTGAATGGCCGCCTTAGTCATGGCTTTCCTCATCTCCTTTAGCTCATTGCTTGCCATTTCCTGGAGATAGAAGAAAGGACAATGACACCTCTCCTGTACCAGCACACAGGTAGGCTGAGAGTTGTCACTACAGCTGAGCTGGAGGGTCATAGCTTACCCAGGATCTCTCTACAGCCCTCATCACCTTGTGGTAATCCCCGTTGCTTGCACTACATATGAACCCGACCACTGAAACCTACTCATGTAAGCTTCAACACCTCAATGTCATTGCTATTTCACAAATCAATTTCAATCTTTAAATCTGCAGCTTGTATAATAAAATAATCCCTGCTGATTCTGCTATGAAGGTCCTTGTTCAGATACTTCCTGTTATAGGGTGACAACACCCCGTCTCCCACTTCTACTCCTGCATTGTCACCCTGACACACAGACTTATAATGGAGACTACAAGTGGACGTTTCAACACACATCATGCAGGCATGGTCCACTGCTGTCTAGAGAAATGTCATGCAGCCATTGCTGGAGTGCATGTAGACATGAAGTAGCTGCAAAAAGGTCACAGGAGAAAAAAAGGGGGAGGGAACATGTTTATTTACATATATAATAGGCAGCATTTCATAAAACTACATGTCACTCATTTAGGGTTTACAGCGACTTTTATCTTAACCCTTACATGAGGCCCAAAATCTATTCCCCAAAGCCCCTGACACTGAATCCAGCCCCTCAAACCCATACTGCCTGGTCATCATTCATGGGCATTGGGGCACACAAAAAAACCCCACAGGCAGCGCCAGGTCCCCTGCACACAAAGTAACCGAGGAGACAGGAATAGGAATCAGGGTTACGGTGAGGTTTGGGGTCAGGCCTAGCGGGTGAACAGTAAAGTATAATCACTAACAGCCAAATTGCAGCAAACCCACCTCACAGGTCATGATGGCAATCTGCTCCGGGGTGATGGCGCCACACAGCACGTTCTTCCTTAAATCCGGATTCTTGGAGTCCTTCAAGTTGGCGATTCGGCTTCGGATCCGGTTCTTGTATTTCATGTCAGTGTTTTGCACCTCCCCAAATACCAGTGAGGACAGTTAAGGGTCCGATAACATTGATATGTGACTAAGGGCCCCTACAAAATATGTTCGGGGCAAAGCGTCAATTGCACACCTTGGCAGCACTAGAGGCTTCACGTCCTGATGCTCCCAGCGCACCAACATTGCTGCACTCAAGGCATGCCAAAACAGACATGCATACAGATGGCAGTCATGTATTAATAAAGCAGTTCATAGTAAGCACACCACAGGTCATTATTACTTGGCATTCTATGTTTTGTTGTAGGTCCTTTTTACCCCACTGGCACCATCTGTGAAGCTTTCTGGCCATAGTTCTGCTTCCCCCCCTTATATCGCCCCTACTGTGTGTCCCATGCATGTGCAGATCAAACCTCGCTTTGGATTTGCCGCGGTGCTGGCGTGTTGTTGACGTCACAGCTCATCCCCGTGACAACTGATCACTGGTCACACGGGGAAGGGGATCATTACTATCTTCTATCTCCCGCAAGGTGCTCGCTCTAGTGATGATCCCGCTCTGCTGGGGAGCACGGCCAGGATGTCAGAACTGAGGGTAGAACTGCACACGCGTGGGTCACGTGACATAAGACAATTAAGAATCCAGTGATACCTCTGCAAAGGGAACGCTACGGAACAGTCTGACATATGTATTTGCTATACAAGTGCTGATGCTGTAAAGATGCAAAGTATGTTTCACCCTTCTCCTAATCATATGCAACAGTCCCCAAAAGTGAAGTTGTCCTTTAAAAGAAAATAACTGCAGCTCTCTGGAGGACAGGATAGAGCCGGATCATCCACAACGCACCATAGGCAGGAGCCTAGGGCCCATTGAGTGCCTAGGGCAGGGTTAGCTAAACTCCGGCCCTCCAGCTGTGGTGAAACTACAAATCCCATGATGCATCTCTCTCCGGGAGTCATGTCTGTGGCTGTCAGAATCTTGCAATGCCTCATGGGATTTGTAGTTCCACCACAGTCAGAGGTCCAGAGTTTGGCTACCCCTGGCCTAGGGGGGCCCAGCTACAGCTCTAGGAGCCCAGGAATATGGTGCTTGTAGCCAATTGAGGACTGTTGACCATTGCAGGGAACTCTCTGGCTTTTGTCCGGAGACTCCAGCTAATCAGTTTCATGTACAGGGACTCCGGGCTTATCCAAACAGTCCCCTTTAGGTCTACCGACAACCACGTCATACATGACACAGGTATTGCTAGATCTAAAGGGGGATTTTAATATATATTTGGTGAGCCTAGGAGACCGCTCTACCAAAAACATCCCCCACATACCCAAAATATTGACCATTACCGTCGCTTCTTCTTTACTTTCACATGAGCCGCCATTAAATTGTATTCATCCTACCCCGCAATAAAAAGGATATCCTCCTCAATCTGGGCTGCCAACAGCTCACAATCTGAACCAATCGCAATGTGATCTCCTAGAAGAAAGACAAGATGAAGATCAAGTCAGGGAACATGGCAGTTACTTCATCTACATGGAGGGTGCAGACTTTCTTCAGACACGGGGCACCCTAAGTCTCCTGTATGGAAGATGTTCTGTTCCAGCTTGTTTAAGCAGAACTCCATTAAAAACAAGGACAGGGGTGGAGCGGAGAGGACTCAGTACTTGGGATATATATTAATTAACCTCTGGAAACGATCCGCCGTATTATCAGACAATAGAAAACACACAACAGATAGGTGACCTCTATATAGTAACAAAGGTAGAACAATGTTTCCTCACTTCTTCAGAAGTCTCTAATATCATATTACTCACTATGGGGACAAAAACAATGTACCCAATGGAGGATATATATTGTCCAAGGAAAGGTAACCGATACAAGAAGAAGGAGGAGAAGGTGGACAACCCAGAGCCAATGTAGTATGAGAGGAACGAGCTGCAGAATGGCAGTATGTAAGCCGGGACTTAAACCTCGATCGTAGGGTGTGAGCTCTAGAGTGTCTGTTCCGCTGTACTCCTCCTTCACCTGTAATACACCAATCGAGGACTAGGGAGAAGAGGTGGATCCACTACAAATGTCCTGGCATCACCACACATACAAGGCAGATTCCTCACAGACCAACACCATCACCAAACCCCCCAACCGTGGCGAATCTTTATCTTGTCTTATTGTTAAAAATGCACCTTGAGGACGGCACTCCTGAATCCCGGGATTCCAATGTGGGCGACAGGCGGACCTGTGACTGTCGTCAGAGCGCACCGGAAGCAAAGATCTTCTGGGCTCTGCCAACGTTCCGGACATCCTGCATTGGGCACAGGACGGCCTGACCACTTACCAATGGAGATTTTGAAGGCAACCAATGAAAATGATCAGCAGGTCCAGCACTCCAATCCTGGAAAAACAGGGCGGGATCATTTTACTGGTATAGAGTTCAAGTTAAAATGACAGAGAAAAGAGAACGGAACTTTGAAGTATCTTCTCCCATACGGGCGTTGTGCAGCTCGTTTCTCTCCACAGATACATCGCCTGCCTTCTCCCAACTATCACTTCCCTTTATTATCCTCATTTGGTACATTGTTTTCTTGTCATAGAGAGACTTAGGATCTAGTGTGGATATCTTCTCCCATACGGGCGTTGTGCAGCTCGTTTCTCTCCACAGATACATCGCCTGCCTTCTCCCAACTATCACTTCCCTTTATTATCCTCATTTGGTACATTGTTTTCTTGTCATAGAGAGACTTAGGATCTAGTGTGGATATCTTCTCCCATACGGGCGTTGTGCAGCTCGTTTCTCTCCACAGATACATCGCCTGCCTTCTCCCAACTATCACTTCCCTTTATTATCCTCATTTGGTACATTGTTTTCTTGTCATAGAGAGACTTAGGATCTAGTGTGGATATCTTCTCCCATACGGGCGTTGTGCAGCTCGTTTCTCTCCACAGATACATCGCCTGCCTTCTCCCAACTATCACTTCCCTTTATTATCCTCATTTGGTACATTGTTTTCTTGTCATAGAGAGACTTAGGATCTAGTGTGGATATCTTCTCCCATACGGGCGTTGTGCAGCTCGTTTCTCTCCACAGATACATCGCCTGCCTTCTCCCAACTATCACTTCCCTTTATTATCCTCATTTGGTACATTGTTTTCTTGTCATAGAGAGACTTAGGATCTAGTGTGGATATCTTCTCCCATACGGGCGTTGTGCAGCTCGTTTCTCTCCACAGATACATCGCCTGCCTTCTCCCAACTATCACTTCCCTTTATTATCCTCATTTGGTACATTGTTTTCTTGTCATAGAGAGACTTAGGATCTAGTGTGGATATCTTCTCCCATACGGGCGTTGTGCAGCTCGTTTCTCTCCACAGATACATCGCCTGCCTTCTCCCAACTATCACTTCCCTTTATTATCCTCATTTGGTACATTGTTTTCTTGTCATAGAGAGACTTAGGATCTAGTGTGGATATCTTCTCCCATACGGGCGTTGTGCAGCTCGTTTCTCTCCACAGATACATCGCCTGCCTTCTCCCAACTATCACTTCCCTTTATTATCCTCATTTGGTACATTGTTTTCTTGTCATAGAGAGACTTAGGATCTAGTGTGGATATCTTCTCCCATACGGGCGTTGTGCAGCTCGTTTCTCTCCACAGATACATCGCCTGCCTTCTCCCAACTATCACTTCCCTTTATTATCCTCATTTGGTACATTGTTTTCTTGTCATAGAGAGACTTAGGATCTAGTGTGGATATCTTCTCCCATACGGGCGTTGTGCAGCTCGTTTCTCTCCACAGATACATCGCCTGCCTTCTCCCAACTATCACTTCCCTTTATTATCCTCATTTGGTACATTGTTTTCTTGTCATAGAGAGACTTAGGATCTAGTGTGGATATCTTCTCCCATACGGGCGTTGTGCAGCTCGTTTCTCTCCACAGATACATCGCCTGCCTTCTCCCAACTATCACTTCCCTTTATTATCCTCATTTGGTACATTGTTTTCTTGTCATAGAGAGACTTAGGATCTAGTGTGGATATCTTCTCCCATACGGGCGTTGTGCAGCTCGTTTCTCTCCACAGATACATCGCCTGCCTTCTCCCAACTATCACTTCCCTTTATTATCCTCATTTGGTACATTGTTTTCTTGTCATAGAGAGACTTAGGATCTAGTGTGGATATCTTCTCCCATACGGGCGTTGTGCAGCTCGTTTCTCTCCACAGATACATCGCCTGCCTTCTCCCAACTATCACTTCCCTTTATTATCCTCATTTGGTACATTGTTTTCTTGTCATAGAGAGACTTAGGATCTAGTGTGGATATCTTCTCCCATACGGGCGTTGTGCAGCTCGTTTCTCTCCACAGATACATCGCCTGCCTTCTCCCAACTATCACTTCCCTTTATTATCCTCATTTGGTACATTGTTTTCTTGTCATAGAGAGACTTAGGATCTAGTGTGGATATCTTCTCCCATACGGGCGTTGTGCAGCTCGTTTCTCTCCACAGATACATCGCCTGCCTTCTCCCAACTATCACTTCCCTTTATTATCCTCATTTGGTACATTGTTTTCTTGTCATAGAGAGACTTAGGATCTAGTGTGGATATCTTCTCCCATACGGGCGTTGTGCAGCTCGTTTCTCTCCACAGATACATCGCCTGCCTTCTCCCAACTATCACTTCCCTTTATTATCCTCATTTGGTACATTGTTTTCTTGTCATAGAGAGACTTAGGATCTAGTGTGGATATCTTCTCCCATACGGGCGTTGTGCAGCTCGTTTCTCTCCACAGATACATCGCCTGCCTTCTCCCAACTATCACTTCCCTTTATTATCCTCATTTGGTACATTGTTTTCTTGTCATAGAGAGACTTAGGATCTAGTGTGGATATCTTCTCCCATACGGGCGTTGTGCAGCTCGTTTCTCTCCACAGATACATCGCCTGCCTTCTCCCAACTATCACTTCCCTTTATTATCCTCATTTGGTACATTGTTTTCTTGTCATAGAGAGACTTAGGATCTAGTGTGGATATCTTCTCCCATACGGGCGTTGTGCAGCTCGTTTCTCTCCACAGATACATCGCCTGCCTTCTCCCAACTATCACTTCCCTTTATTATCCTCATTTGGTACATTGTTTTCTTGTCATAGAGAGACTTAGGATCTAGTGTGGATATCTTCTCCCATACGGGCGTTGTGCAGCTCGTTTCTCTCCACAGATACATCGCCTGCCTTCTCCCAACTATCACTTCCCTTTATTATCCTCATTTGGTACATTGTTTTCTTGTCATAGAGAGACTTAGGATCTAGTGTGGATATCTTCTCCCATACGGGCGTTGTGCAGCTCGTTTCTCTCCACAGATACATCGCCTGCCTTCTCCCAACTATCACTTCCCTTTATTATCCTCATTTGGTACATTGTTTTCTTGTCATAGAGAGACTTAGGATCTAGTGTGGATATCTTCTCCCATACGGGCGTTGTGCAGCTCGTTTCTCTCCACAGATACATCGCCTGCCTTCTCCCAACTATCACTTCCCTTTATTATCCTCATTTGGTACATTGTTTTCTTGTCATAGAGAGACTTAGGATCTAGTGTGGATATCTTCTCCCATACGGGCGTTGTGCAGCTCGTTTCTCTCCACAGATACATCGCCTGCCTTCTCCCAACTATCACTTCCCTTTATTATCCTCATTTGGTACATTGTTTTCTTGTCATAGAGAGACTTAGGATCTAGTGTGGATATCTTCTCCCATACGGGCGTTGTGCAGCTCGTTTCTCTCCACAGATACATCGCCTGCCTTCTCCCAACTATCACTTCCCTTTATTATCCTCATTTGGTACATTGTTTTCTTGTCATAGAGAGACTTAGGATCTAGTGTGGATATCTTCTCCCATACGGGCGTTGTGCAGCTCGTTTCTCTCCACAGATACATCGCCTGCCTTCTCCCAACTATCACTTCCCTTTATTATCCTCATTTGGTACATTGTTTTCTTGTCATAGAGAGACTTAGGATCTAGTGTGGATATCTTCTCCCATACGGGCGTTGTGCAGCTCGTTTCTCTCCACAGATACATCGCCTGCCTTCTCCCAACTATCACTTCCCTTTATTATCCTCATTTGGTACATTGTTTTCTTGTCATAGAGAGACTTAGGATCTAGTGTGGATATCTTCTCCCATACGGGCGTTGTGCAGCTCGTTTCTCTCCACAGATACATCGCCTGCCTTCTCCCAACTATCACTTCCCTTTATTATCCTCATTTGGTACATTGTTTTCTTGTCATAGAGAGACTTAGGATCTAGTGTGGATATCTTCTCCCATACGGGCGTTGTGCAGCTCGTTTCTCTCCACAGATACATCGCCTGCCTTCTCCCAACTATCACTTCCCTTTATTATCCTCATTTGGTACATTGTTTTCTTGTCATAGAGAGACTTAGGATCTAGTGTGGATATCTTCTCCCATACGGGCGTTGTGCAGCTCGTTTCTCTCCACAGATACATCGCCTGCCTTCTCCCAACTATCACTTCCCTTTATTATCCTCATTTGGTACATTGTTTTCTTGTCATAGAGAGACTTAGGATCTAGTGTGGATATCTTCTCCCATACGGGCGTTGTGCAGCTCGTTTCTCTCCACAGATACATCGCCTGCCTTCTCCCAACTATCACTTCCCTTTATTATCCTCATTTGGTACATTGTTTTCTTGTCATAGAGAGACTTAGGATCTAGTGTGGATACATTGTTACCTTGTCATAGAGAGACTTATGATCTAGTATGGATACATTGTTATCTTGTCATAGAGAGACTTATGATCTAGTGTGGATACATTGTTATCTTGTCAGAGACTTGTGATGTAGTGTGGGTACATTGTTATACAATTGTTGCTCTCTGGACATCGTTGCAGGTCACGTGAGATCCCATAACTGCAGCCAAATGAGATGTTTATAAAGTGAGGAAGGGTTGGAGCTTCTGTCGTGTTTTTATTGTTATCTGTATCCCAGCAGAGGGGATTTCCTTACTTCCTGTTTGACAGGAAATGATGAATGTTGTTATGAGGTGTCCCCAGCACTCTAACCCTTCCCCACTCTGTCCATCATGAACAGAGGAGTTATAGGGTGTCCCCAGCACCTAACTCTAACCCTTGGTGACTCTGTCCATCATGAACAGGAAGTGGCTGGCTGGAGTTGCGGGGTGAACAGTCCCGCTCAGCGTGTGTAGTTGTTTTAGAACGGCTCAGACCAAAAATGAGACGCCGAGCAAATGAAACATATGATTGATTGGCCAGTAGTCCACACGGACCAATCAGATGTCAGCATATATAATCCTGCCACTCAAAGCTGTGGGAACCTGGCTTCTGATTGGTTGCCAGCAGTTGTTGCATACGAGGTCTGTGCTGGAGAGGTTCACCCTCTATATTTGTCTCTGTGACCAGTGTCATGATGAGGACAGGAATAAAAGGGGAAATCCTGCAATAGGAACGCTTGTTCCATCAACAAAAGTCTAAGAGTTTTCCTCTCGCTTCCTATTGTGTCTTCAGGACAGGAAGTAAAGGGAAATCTCCCTTTACAGACAGGAAATAAACATTTACTAATGTGGTGAGATCTGCCCCATCATTCTGGTCACCTGTCAATCACATGGCAGCGTTCCGGCCACACACAGAAGCGCACACACACACACACACACACACACACACACACACACACAC